ACCCCAAAAGCCCAAAACCTGAACCCCAAAGCCCTAAAGAGGTTGAACCCCGGTGCCTCCGCCGCACTGAGCCCGCCTCCGGCGGGCCGGGAGGTGCCTCGAAAAGGGCGAAGCTTTGGGAATTACCTTTTCCGGTATGGCTCTATGATGCTACACAGCCACTCTCTATCTCTCTATCTCTCTCTCTCTCTCGCTCTCTCTCGCTCTGTCTCGAGATAGATATAGATGTAGATGTAGATACAGATATAGATTTAGGCAGAGATAGAGAGTTAGAGAGAGAGAGAGAGGCAGAGAGAGTGAGAGAGAGAGGGTGCAACCATATATATATATATATGTGTGTGTGTGTATATATATATATATACGTATGTATGTACGTGTTTGTCTTCAGGGTCTTCCCCTACTGCCATGCTGTTGCAATACGCTGCTTGCCAAGCCCTAGGGCACAAATGCCTGACCCATTCTATTTTAAAGAGACCAGTCATGAGCAATTTGACTACCTAAACCCTAAACCCAAAGCCCTGTTGCAACTCTGACCTCTGCCTGTTGCCAACTCCTCAAAGCCCTCATTCTGAACCCGCGCTGCTTCCGAGATTCAGTCGAAGGATCCTAGCTCATCGTACCCGGGTATTGTACGTAAAAGTGGTGTCGTGTTTTGCTGACCCAAACGGGACGGCAGTTGAACACTACCGGCGTACTCTACTCTCTGAAAACCCTAAATGCCAAAATGCAGAAACCTCTGTAAAACTTTGGGGGCCCCTTTAACGTCTCCCCCTAGCTTCCCTTCCGTCGGACCTGGAAAAGCGTCGGAATCCATGAGTTCCTCTGCGACGGAGATGATGAATCTGCCGGCTGCAGGGTCACTTTGACAGGTCTGGTTTTTCAGGGTGAGAAACGGGATCTGCAAGGGGTTTTAATTCGGGTTCCGGCTCGACTGACTTCGGGGCGTGAGGGCTTCAGGGTCCCATAGAGTTTGAGAGGGTCACAGCCCCTTACCTACGGCCTTAAAGGGCTTCAGGGATCAAAGCTGCAGGGCTGAGCTTTCGGGCTTTTAAGGCTTGCAAGTTTGTGGGCCTTTGGGACTTCGGAGGTTCCGTGTTCTTCAAGGCTAAAAGGCCGCCTCCAGGGTATAAGATTTGCGGCTTTTAGCGGCTGCAGATCCATTTAGGTTTAGGGTTTAGGGTTTCGGGTTTCGGGTTTAGGGTACTCGCGGATGTGTTCGAATCTATGGACTCCTCATGCTGGAAGCTTGCGATCACAGGGACTGCCCACTAACTTTTGCGAAGAAAAGCCGCCGATCTGCGGGACTGGCTTATTGCAGAGGCATTAATAAATGCCAATGTTATTTCGGGGGATCCTTGTTATAATCATAGTATAAAGGGCCCCAAAACCCTAGTCTAATTATTAAGGCCCCTATATTACCAACTTTGGATCTAGGATGGCCAGTTCGCTTGGGCGTTATGCTCCTTCAGTCTGAGCTGGAACCCAGGGGTTCAAGTTTAGAGGGCTGGCATGGGTCTTTGGAAAAGGTTTGTAAACGTGGCGTGTTTAAGCCTACTAGAGGGGCCTGGATAATTACCTATACTATGTTTGGGAGGTTCTTTAGTTAATATTATTTTAAATAGTATAATATATCCCAAAACCCTATTCTAATTATTAAGGCCCCTATATTAAACCCCTTATATAATAACCCCTATGGTAACCCGTTAAAGGAGCCCTATTCTAGTTTTATTAAGGCCCCTATCTCAGGTTTCTAGATCCTGAAAGCCGCTGAGTCAACCCTCAACCTCCAAACTGCCTCGAAGTCGCGGCACCGATTCGCCAGCAGGTTTAGTGGTTTAGGGGAAATGTGTTGCAGGGGCCCTATAACGATTAAAATAGGGTTTTGCGGAATATTCTACTATCATTATACTAAGGACCCCCCCAACAAAAAAAAACAGCATAGGTAATTCTTAAGGCCCCTACATTAGCCCAGCAAGGCGCCGACACTCTCGGAAGTGCGTGTAGGCGGAGCATCAGGCTGCTGCTCGACCTGGATTTGGATAGTTCTGTAGATTAGGGTTTAGGGTTTAGGGTGTAGATTGGGAACCCTTTCTACTTGGAGGTTCATGGGCAGTCATAAGTAGGGATATAAGTAGGGTAAGTATACTTATAGCTCATATTAGGGGACTCTTAACCCGACTTACAACTACCCATGAACCTCCAAGTAAGTCCCCATCTAAGGTGGAATCCTTTTCAGAAGGATCCTAAACGGGACTCTCCTTGAGAGAACGAAGCATTTTGTGTTGTCGAAACTCCTTTTCTCCTAGACCAGCTGGTTTGGGGTCTCGGGCTGGGCATTTCAAGACAGTTGGGATGATTTGAAGCTGGTGACGGTAGCATGAGGTCCTGACAAGGGCTTGTTTTCATCGGGTACTAAACCCTAAACCCTAAACCCGAAACCCTAAACTCTAAACCGTCTAAAGTCTAAACCCCGAAACATCTTTGAGCTTCGCGCCGCCAAAGGGGAAGCCCGCCACAGGTTTCCAGCATCGGCTGCGGCCACAAGGATGTCTGTCTCCTGCCGATACAGGGGTTGCCGAAAATAGGGGGCCCTAATATAGTACCCTAAACAGTAGGGTCCTTATAAGAAGGGTTCCTTTACTGGTTTAAACGCGTCGACTCCGGTATCACATGCACAAGTGATGCTCGTAGTTTAATCCTGCGTTCACGGGGGGTTAAAGTTTTAAAGGTAATCGGGCTTTACAGGGCTTATGAGGTTCTACACTAAGGGGCGTTTAAGGTTCTACACTAAAGGGCTTTTGAGGTTCTACACTAAGGGACTTAGAAGGTTCTACACTAAGGTTCGAATAAAGTGTTATCGGGTCTGTAAGCTTGAAGCAGGGCTTGATCAACGGCTTTGTGGCTCAGGTGCTGCAGGGTTGGGGGTCGTGGGGTTTGGGATTCAAGATTTCAGGGTCATGGAGCTAAGGTGCCTAGGGCTACGCTTCGATGTGCACGCACATGTATGCATGCATGCAGGGTTGTATGTAGGTATGTGTGCATACATGTACCCGTATCTGCTATGTCTATGTAGTAACCCAAAACCGACCCCGAACAACAGAAACAAGCCTAGCGACCGTAGTTTAGGGGCCTATAGGGTGTTGCGCCCATTGTAGCCTAGCTTTATTCAGGAAACCCTAGGAAATAATGATGTGCGTATATGTATACATATATACTTATATACATATGTATATGCATGTGTATGTATATATGTGTGTATGTATATATATATATATATATAGTTTCCAGGCCCTAGATATCGACCTTACGACTTACGGCGTCTGGGATGAGGCTTAGGCTTTCAGGATACTGTGAGGGCGTTTAGGGGGTCGTGAGGGCTTCAGGGCTTAAGGGTTTAAGCGCTTAAGTTTGAAGGGCGTAAGGTTTCAAGGATTTGGGGGTGTAAGGGGTTTGGGGTTAGAGTTCACGGTCTAAGGGCTCAACAACATCGAACTCGCGTTAGGGTTTAGGGTCAAGTGGTTAGGGTTGTATGGTCCTTTACCCATAGGGTCCATGCACCCAAACAGCATATATACTTTGGTCTTAGTGCAGTCCCTTTTCAGATACTTCTGGGCCCCATAGTTTCCTTTTTGGTACATGGACCCTGAACAGCATTTCCATGCCTAGACTAGGTGCTCACGATCTTGAAACATTGCCGCTCCCTGGAACAGCACTCTGCTTATTGCTCATGGTTTACAGTAGGGTTTTGCAGACTGACCTCCTCCGCCATCCAGCCATCGAGCTTCAGCAATGGAAAGGGGGACCTCAGAGGCCACTTGATCAGCTGAGCATCTTAAGGCCTGCGGTTTCCGAGCTGGTGGGTTGGGTGGGGCGCGGGGGGCGGCTCTGTGGTTCAGGATAACGTAGAGGCCTTACTAATTACAATAGGGTCTTGGGGTATATTATATTATAGTTATAATAAGGAGCCGCCCAAATAGTATAGGTAATTATTGAGGCCCCTATATTATCAAGAATCTGGGCGCTTGGTGTTCATGTTGTCGGTGTTGCGTTTGATCGGGGATGATAGCTTCATGGGCTCCATTTGCCTGACTAGGGATGCGTTGTTTTTTGCATTTGCTTTTCTTCTGGGGTGACCCTAAGGAATATACTATGACTAGTCAATCAGGCGTCATGTTAGGCATGTGCTATACCGTGACCTCTACGCCCCAAATAGCTACTAGCGAGACTACTGCTGCGGCGTCTGGACGCTTAGGCTACAGGGTTCTGCGTCTTCCTCGAACACCAACGCTGCCTACACGAACAACTTCATCATCATCTCCATCACCCTTTCCATCCTTGTTCTTTTGTTCTTTTCCCACTCTTAATGCAGGGGCCTTAATCATTAGAATAGGGTTTTGGGGCATCTGTACTATAATTATAACCTGATAGGAGCCACGAACCCG